TGTCTCTCACGCACACATACACACAGATACATATGGTATAACAGAGAAGAAGACATTACTGGGTCGGCTCTCTTTTCTGTTCCTCCTTCAAACTCCACACTTTACTGTGTCCTGCAGCACGGTATAACTAAGTAGCTTATGCAGGGAATTTTTGAACTAACTTAACACTATAACAGGCAAATTCACTGATATAAGCCAACTGAAGCACCAACTAGTTATTCTTCATTTTATTTAGACCAGTGTGACTGCCTTACATTGTGACTGGCAACAATAATGTTCTTGGCCACCAAAGCCACAGAGTTTCCCATTGCTGGCTAAAGAGTTCATGTCCTCAGGTAACACTGCTGATGCAGGCTCACAAATGTGCATGCACAAACACACTAGGTCTTCTATGGGATTACTTGAAACCTATTCATGCAAAGGCAAGCCTTACTTATTTTCAGTTGGAGCAGGATAATGATGCCACATCCCAGGTCTCTATGGAGACTCCTCTTCCAGGTGGTCCATATTCTCTTGCAGAGATTGCCATTATAATGAATTCGTCATTTCCAAATTCCCTACAATTCCCAATCTAGTTTTTGCTGAACTCTTTTGGTCTTTTTCTTTATGACAAAGCAGTGGCTACATAATGGATAAAAGAAGAATACGTGTACATGATGTTAAGTTAGGTTTAAAAGTCTTACTGAACCAAAATGTGAGACTCAAGCGTGTTGAACCAAACATCATGCTCCAAAAACTTTGCAACATTTTTTTGTTGCATCTGTAACACCCCTAATTCACACACCAGCTCCTTTTTTGCTATCTATAGCTTAAGTAGCACACTAAATCAAAATATGACACTGTGCCTCAGAGACAATGTGCATACTGGTCTTATTTGCAATGTGCCAGCATCGACAAGAATAATGGACTCTTAAGGACCGGACCATTTGGAAACATCTGTAAATGGGAATTTATCCTCAAATCACCCCAAAAAGAAACTACGAATAATTCCGATATTCAATACCCCAACTGAGGAACAACCTTATGAACAAGAGTATTCTGATAACATGCTGTCCCTAGTTATGACTTATACAAATTAGCATGTTTTGTTATTCAAATCTTTGTTCTGTGTATGTGTGCACACATTTATACTGTAACACACTGTATCAACCAATTTAAAAGGTTAAATAGGGGTAGAGCACTTGAGTTACAAGAGTAAAGCCAAGTGGACAGATCCAAGAAAATGCAGTGAAACAGAGCCTAGTCCATTTCCTCCTTTGGTTAAGTCCAACAATATTTCTCATGCTTTTAACTCTGCTGTGCCAGGATCAGGATAACCTTGCAGTGTGACTTGCAGCAGTGTGATCTCTCTTCATAATAGCAGGGTATAGTTTCTTCTTGCTCACATTCTTGTGGAAGTGACCGTGCACATGAGCTAGATTCCTAACATTATTTTATTATTGCCAGTCTTCTGCTCTGAGTGAAGGCCAAGCAAGCTGCTCAGAACATCCTTTTACTTTTCATTAAGGGTCCAGTTTTTCACTTCACTCTAATAATGCTGAGTATTTACATGTAACCAGAGAATTGGGTGGATGTAAATTCCAGACTGAAAATACTTCATGGAAAAGTGAACGGAAACAGGAAGATGATCAGCATTAAATATGGCCCAGTTGTTGCCAGGATTAAAACATGACTACACCCACACTGGGTATGCAAAAAACTCTCTCTTACCCTAAAACACACACACAACTGTCAACCCAACTGCAGGTCAAGTCACAACAAACTATGCATTCATGCCTGCAGATACAGACACAGTTAACGTTTATGGCTGAGTCTCAAAGGGGTGAGGTGAGGCATGGATGAGAAGCGCTGAGCCTTGGCTTACTCAGCACTACAACAAAAATAGGCATGCCTTCGTGAAACAGGGATGCTGGTCCAACCAAAACTTTGCTATCACTGTATCACTTCACGAAAAGCAACTATGTGGCCTTATTCTCTTGTGCTTCTGATAATCCATCTTTACCTGAAATTCAGGTCAAACATTTGGGGAGTTACCCTCCCCTAAGAGTGGAGGGGGTGATGCCATATGTCAACAAATAACCGACGACCAGTGGATATAAGAGACAATACAGTATAACACTTTATAACGTTACAATGAACCAGATGATCTGTGGCTACTGACTTGGCTCAAGTCGCTGCCAACGCTAATAAAAGACACTGAAAAGTGTCCTGCCCTCTTCCTGATATCAGTTGATCACTTTTGATAATAACCCTGAACCTCAACTCACCGAAGCTACTGTCGCTTTTCAGTTACAAAGCACTTAGCTTAGCTTACAACGCATCTAGACAAACGTGTGCCTAATGTTAATCCAATGAATTCACACAAGAGCAATTTGTTGGACGAGTTTAAAAGAAAGCTACGGCACTAGGTTCCAGACAAGTAAGGTCATGAGATGTCAACCGGCTCTCGGGCTACAAAATACAACATTAGAACTTTAGCTAACTGCAATTAGCTAACTCAGTTAACGAGATTAAACCAGCTGGTTTAGCGTCCCCCGGAATTTATTAGTAATTTATAGCTATCAGCTGTTATGGCCATTTCACTTTAACTTCTACTGTTTAATGCAAGAAGAAGTTTTTTCCGCGCCCATTGTCATCAGATCACTGGACAGCGAGCTAACGACATCACTAGCCAGAAAAGCTGGCCGCGTTGCAGCACGTTCAAATGACCCGGTTAGTGGAGGCAGTTACCAGCAAACATTACGAAGAGAGTGCTACACTGGAAGACACAACTTGGTCAAAAGTAACCACAACCGCCGGTGTTTACTTACACATTTGGGCTCGCAAGACTTTGAGAGTCGATGTACCCTCCGCCATTTCTGCGAAGTTTTCCTTCTGTGTTTTTTCTCAAGCAGGGGCGCGTAACACATCACAACCGGCAGGACTCTGACAGCACGCGGACGTGGACAACAAAGAATGTAGGGAACGAAGAAGTATCACTCTGATCTGTGGTCCGGAAACTTATAACAGCGTCGCAAATCATGGGGGAAATAAACATGCTGCTGTGCAGTGGTGGAGTATAGGCTATCTAAATACGTTTATTTATAGTCAAATATTGTACTTTTATTTCACTACCCATTGTCTATTTATGTATTTATGTATAAAGGTATGTGTCTTGATTGACAAACTCATCAATTCTCTTACTGTTTTTTATGTCCACACTTAAATTATTCCATAGTTTTACCCCACTTATGGAAATACAGAATCTTTTTTTGGTTGTACGTATAGCATGAATTTTATAATTTAACTGACCCCTTAAATTGTATCCCCCTTCCCTTTCATTAAATAGTTTTTGAATTCCACCAGGTAATAAATTGTTCCTGGCTTTATACATAAACACAGACGTCTTATCAGTCAGTTAAAGCAGCAACTCTTTTTTGTAATATATACAATGGTTGAAGTGAGCTTTTGTATGTGTTTCCCCAGTTTTCAATGCCATACTCTAAGTATGGTAAAATCAATGAGGAATACAAAATGCATAGTGCTTTTCTGTCCAAAATATGTCTAACCCTCGCCAATATCGATATGTTTTTTGCTATTTTATGCTGAATATATCTGATATGATATTTCCAGGTGAATTTATCATCAATAAATTCAGAAATAGAATAAAAGTGCTAATATATGTGTTCATCATTTGTAAAACGCCTTGAGGCGATTTCCATCTCCTAATAAAAGCATGTCTAGATGAAAGCTGTGTTTGTAATTGCGTGTGATTTTTATTTTCATTCTAAATAGAATAAATGAATGTATTAACGTTATGGCATTCTCATAATACAGACATTGAAAAATCTACCGTTTCCTCTTAATACATACGTGGGCAGAATGGTCTCCATCATGTGATTCGGTATCAAGCTGTTATAATATATTAATGGGACGTACAAGGGTTGAATTGAGTTTATTGTTATAATCGGTCCTAATGGTGTTTGTGTCTGGTTTGGACCCATGAAGATAAACGAGAACACTCTATTGGAGGGACACAAAGTTGTGTTGGTTTCTTATAATGCAAAGCACATGCCCAGGTAATGTTAATATTAACACCTGATCGGTCTTGTTACACACGCGAAGTTTGTCAGTTTTCTTTTATTTTCCTCTGCTGATATCTTTAGTGATGAGTGTTTGAATGTCATTTCTTTACTATTGTTAGATTTTACCCAAGTTCTTTTATTGAAAGCGCGAGAAGTGAAGACAGAAGAGGACTGTTTAAAATCAACAGGAAGTTTACTCAAAGTCTGGGCACAGGTGAAGTCTTACAGCGCTGGGCTCAGAGAGACAGAGCTCTCGCAGGAAATCTGTTCTCTGAACAATGAGTTACGTTTTCTCATTACATTTATCTTCTTGGGCTAGGCCTGCCCTGGACAGAGGTACAACATTTCACATGTCGTAATCCTATTGGCCATTTGGCGTGAGCAGGTCAACCCCTGCCTGCGTCTGCTTGCCGAATTGTGATCTAAACCAGGTGTGAGTGTGTGTGTGCTTCTCAGGTGGCAGCTTGATCGATGAACACTGAACGGGTGGTCTGGGCTGCAGGCTGGGAACCCGGGGGGTCACCCCTCACAAAGGTTCCTGAGCCCCCCGACGGGGGCCCGTGCCGGACCTGGGGCCACACGCACACTGGAGGGCGGGAACCCGGGGGGGTCGCCCCTCACATAGGTTCCCGAACCAGCCAGTGGGGGCCTGTACCGGACGGGTTCAAATAAATTTTTAAAGCAAATAAAATTATACTGACCATTTCCAAATATTCATATGTCATTACGCCCCCCATCTCCTCTTCTCTACCATCTGTTTTCTCCTCTATTCATATCTCTTGTTGGTTTCTCCTCTCCTTCATACTCCTGAAAAGAAACAAATATAAGACAAAATGGAATATTTAGAAATTCAGATGAAAACAGAGCCGATGACTACATAAAATCGTTAACATCATTAGATAAACTGATATTTACCATGCACATGAAAGGTCTTACACTTCATCCTGCCCTCCATCACTTCCTCTCTCCTCACTCTGAAAGATAAATAGAAGACCAGAGGAGCTGTAGCTCAGTTTTTAAAAAACTAAGGCACAGATGACTGGTTCATGACTACTATATAAAATGTAATTAAAGCAAATAAAATTATACCTACCCTTTCGAGATGTTAAGATGCTATTATGCACCCAACTCATTGCCTCTCCTCTTCTCTACCTGTTTTTTAAATCCTTTTTCTCATATTTTCATGTTATTTCTATACTATTATCAAAATAGTTGTGAATTTATTGTAGGTGATCCAGAGTGCAGCCTGTATGCAAGCTGGGAAAGTGTGTGTGTTTCTGGGGTCAGATTGGGATTAATATGGTTTTTTTTTTTTTGTAAATCAGAGATTAGCTAGCAAACAGACAATGTGGAAAATTATTTCGATGGCACAGTTTATGCCTCACATTTATGGTTTGGAATTAAAGTTATGAACTGTACACTTACGTTGACCTGTAAAGAGAGATGGTGTTCTCGAGGGTTTTAGTTTTTGAGATATCCAAAGTAATCTGTTGGTAACTCACATTTCTTTTACAGTCGCGAGCCTCGCATATTGCTGAATATGTAGCATAAATAAAAATCGCACCTTGTCCTGTTGAATGCATCTGGTCACGTTCAGAGGATCGTCAGTGGATGTACGGGCAGCAAAATGGTTTTAATGGGTCTCCGGTTCCGTGAAATCGAGTTAAATAAACTTGCAAACCAAACTTTAATGTCAACTCCTAACGGTTAACCGTTGGCTGAGTCCTTCGATCTTTCAGCCGTTGACGTAACATCCAACAAGTACGTAACAAGTATCTCCCCCGTTGACGTAACATCCAACAAGTACGTAACAAGTATCCCCCCCC